CTAGAGGATCCCCTCGTGAAGGGCCCGGCCCGGCCCGGCCCGGCCCGGTCGGCCCGGAAGTTTCTCGCGAACTTCAAAATCTTGAGCGAAAAGTTGAATCATTGTTTCGAAAAAAGGTATTCATTGTTTTTTTTCTTCGAGTTATTTTTCAATACATTCTAAAAATCAATAAATTCATTTTCAAAAACAAAAACAAAATTCAAAAACAAAAATTCATTTTTCAAAAATTTTGTTTTTTTTCTGCCGGGCCGCCGGGCCGGGCCCTGAAAATTTTCTCTCGGCCCGAACCGGGCCGGGCCGAAATTTCACAAGTATGGAATTTTTTAAATCTAAAATCAAAGATCCTCAAATTTCATTTATCTTGTTATTGTTGTTTCTTGTTGTTGCGCTCTTTTTCTCTTTGAATAACAGTCTGAAAATCCGCTCGGTTTTTGTAGACAAAAATTTGGAATCGATTGTTTTTATAAGAATGAAAAACGGACCATCTGAAGATTCGGGGGGTTTTTTTTTGGGTAGAAACATACTTGTAATCCGGGCCTTTGCCGGGCCTTCGCGGGCCCTGTCATAACTTCTTTCAGAATCAATGTTTTCGAACCAACTAAATCAGGTATGATAGAGCTCCACAAGTACTACAAAACGGTTTTATTTGGAATACTGTATCTTGTCTATGAACAGAGTTACAGAGCAAAAGGAGCCTGCCGGGCCCTGCGAGAAAAGCCACTTTATGATCTGTAACTTTGTTCATAGATAAGATACAGTATTCCAAATAATACCGTTTTGTAGTACTCGTGGAGCTCTATCATATCTGATTTAGTTGGTTCGAAAATATAGATTCTGAAAGAAATTATGGCAAGGCTCGCGAAGGCCCGGATTACAAGTATGGGTGGACATTTTTTTTTCAGAAATTCAAAAATTCCGATATTCAGGAATTTGGAAATTCAGAAATCTAGAAATTCAGAAATTTCTTTTTAAAATTTTCTTAAAGTACTGATCCAAAACAAAAATAATAATTTGAGATAACTGAAGAATCTTCTTTATTGCTCATTCTCTTGATTCTGACGATGATACTTGTTGGCCGGCTCATCGGGTAAGTGTGATCTAGCTGAAAATTGGAAAAAGTGGAACCCAAAAATTCCTAATATTCAGAGAACATTTTGAGGGTTTCTGAAAGTTGTTGTTTTCTTGAACAAGGAAATTTTGAATTTTTAAAGGTGGAGGGACAGGAGATTTTTCGTAGTTTTTTTGTAGCTAGAGTATGCATTCTACCGTCACGGTGTACAACGCTTAATGTCACTCTGCGTACAGCTGTCGTCCTCGCCTTCATGTATGCAAACGGGCGTGCGCTTTCTCTTTGCCCGCGTGGCTCAGTCGGTAGCGGCGCCGCACCCTCAATCATCGCCCTCACAAGTTCAACTCCTCGAGGGGCATATTTAAACGGAATTTCGAGAACATTATTTTTTCATGTCCCACCACCTTTAAAGTTTTATAATTTCATAGAAATTCTGTAGTTTTATTATTTTCGGAAAATGCATAAAATCTGAATTTTCAAAATGGACAATTCAGAACTACCAAAACAAATTGTCACAACTTTAATCAACTGTGTTAAATCCAGAAAAACACAATTCCAAGCTTCTGGGACCATTTTTCAGAATCTACGAATCTATTTTCCTTGGAAACTTTAAAATACATCATTTTTCGGTATTCGTTTATTCAATATTTCTTTAATTTTTTCAATTGGAAGGCCATATTTTTCAGGAGAGTTGGGGATGTTTAAAAATGGCAAGGAATAAAAAAGAATTTTTAAAAAAAAATTTAAAGGTCGCAAAGAGTGCAGACGCAGTCTCCGGTGATGCAGGTGGCCACTTTGCAGTTCTGGAAAATTTTTAAATTAAAATTAATCATGGATAATTAGGATTAATTAACTCACTCTGCAGGTGATCGATTTGCAGATGGAATCCGAGAAATAGCACGAGAAATCGGCGGTGGCCAACTCGATAAGAGCGATGAGGAGGATGACGACGAGAAGGTACTTGAACATGATTAGAGCTGGAAATTAGGTGTAATTCAATTAATTTTTAATTAGTAGACAGAATTAGAATAAAAGAGAAAAAAAATTCTGAACAGAACAAGGTGAAATCCGGAAAATTGAATAGAAATTTGGCTACCCGATCCGTCAAATTTGAGCCCATGTATCTCATTTTCTGTGAGGGATATCAAAAAGTGGTTAACTAATGAAATGTTGCTGATATCATGATAAACATTTTATTTGTTAACAACTATTTGATATCTCTCACAGAAACCGAGATATCTGGGCTCAAAATGGACGGTCCGGGTGGCATCCTATTAGAGTGTTTACGGTATTGTTAAGGGAATCAATATTAATTTAATATTTTTTATAGGATTTCAGAGATTTTTAAAGGTTTTCAAAGACTTTTTCCAAGAATCAGGATTCAAGAATGTTTGGCAGCTTTTGAAAACTAGAAATCGAAATAGAATGAGAGCTCTCGAGAGCCCCTGGAGCACACTGGACTAACTGACATATTCTGGCTTTCACCCGAGAAAGTTTACACTCAAAAAGAAAGCTTTTTGTGATTCTTCTTCTCTCGCTTCTCTTTTGTTTTATGATTCTTTCTAGGTTATCCATCAAGAAGCATCCTGACAACTGACAGATGGTCCCTCTAGCTCGTGACTCGGGTCCCGAAAAATTTCAAAAATATTTCCGATGGGTTACACAGGCACAACAAACACATACAAAAAGTTCAAAGTTCTGGTGAAACATGAGAAGAAGAAGGTAGATTACCAGGGGGGAAATGGATCAAAAATCAGTGGAAACTTTCAAAATCTGGAAAATGCTGGAATTTGAAATTGGAAAACTGCATACACTATAATAGAACGCCATTCGAATCTTCAAATTCAAGCTCAAATTCAAGTATCTCATTTTCTGTGAGAGATATCAAAAAGTGGTTAATTGATAAAATGTTGCTAATATTGTGATAAACATTTTATCAGTTGACAACTTTTTGATATCTTTCAAAAGAAGTGAGATATATAGGTTAAAAGTGGATGGTCCGGGTGGCGTTCTATTATAGTGCTTACGGTCTTTGATCTGTTAGAATTGTGAGATTTTCAGCTTTCAAATCGTACGTCACACGACTTATTGTTGGTCTTAAAGGCGCATGGGTCCAGCGAGAGAACCAAAAAAATCTGAACACAGCTGTGATTATTCTCATTTTGAAGCTCATAACAAGACAAATTCAGAAATATAGGTTACACAAAATTTGAAGCAATATTTTAAAAGTTACGACCAAACCAGAAAAGCTGCACAAATTTCAAAAAAAAATTGTTTTCAATTTCTAGGAATCTGGAGTTTTCGATAATGATATTGATAAAGTTTAGGGTTTCTCAATAAATAGCATTATCGTATAACCTCTATCAGAAGCCCACTCGAATTGTGTCAACTTCAAGCTCAATTATCTCGATTCCTGTGAACCACTCAAACCGTCAAATTTGAGCCCATATATCTCAGTTCCTGTAAAAGATATCAAAAAGTGCTCAATTGGTAAAATGTTTATCATAATATTATCAATATTTTATCAGTTAACCACTTCTTGATATCTTTCACAGGAATTGAGATAGTTAAGCTCAAGTTGACGGTTTCTCTGGGCATCTATTAGAGGATATACGGAAATACCAAGCTCAAAACGTTGCCTATGATTTTCAGTCTGAAAATCGTCTTTATATACAATTTGAGTTTTGAAAACAGGAAAAAGAAAAAAGAGAATTTTTTGTTTACAGAATTATATTCCGTGAGTCAGAAAATATGAATCAAATAGGAAAAAAGTTTGGGACAAAACCAAAAAAACGTTGAATGGAACAAAAAAAAGTTCTAGAAAGAGAACCAGATGACGTGATTCTGAAGTTTGGTTCTGAATTTGGAAGGATTATGCAAACAACTTGTTGATTGAACATCTGAAAATTTTAACTTTCCTGCTGAATTTTTCATCAATTTTCTATAATAAAAGTTACCGTAAACACACTAGTAGAACGCCACCCGGACCATCCGCTTTGAATTTATATATCTCACTTCTTTTGGAAGATATCAAAAAGTTGTTAACTGATAAAATGTTTATCATGATATCACCAACATTTTATTAGTTAACCACTTTTTGATATCTCTCACACAAAATGAGATACATGAGCTCAAAGTTCACGATTTGGGTGGCGTTCTATCAGTTTACGGTATAGTAAATGATTTATTTTTCCTATTTTTGGGATCATCATTTTTTTCAATTAAAAAAAAAACCAAATGATCAAAAATCAGATTGAAATCTTTTTCCTTTATTGTCCCTTCTCATAGCTTGTGTTGTTGTTTTCAATACATTTTTTCAGACATCAAAAATCAGCTAAACAAGTAAAAAATCACTGAATCAACAAAAATATCAATGGGTATAAAATAAAGATTTTGAAAAATGAATTTTCAGTGTTTCAAGATTTTTCTGGTTTTTGTGATATTTTTTCATTTTGAAATTCGAAATTTTAGGAAGTCGTGAATTTCTGAATTTCTGAGTTTCTGAATTTCTGAATTTCTGAGTTTCTGAATTTCTGAATTTCTGAGTTTCTGAATTTCTGAATTTCTAAATTTCTGAATTTCTGAATTTTTAATTTTTTAATTTCAGAATTTCTGAATTTCTGAATTTCTGAATTTCTGAATTTCTGAATTTCTGAATTTCTGAATTTCTGAATTTCTGAATTTCTGAATTTCTGAATTTCTGAATTTCTGAATTTCTGAATTTCTGAATTTCTGAATTTCTGAATTTTTTAATTTTTTAATTTCAGAATTTCTGAATTTCTGAAATTCCGAACTACTGAATTTCTGAATTTCTGAATTTCTGAATTTCTGAATTTCTGAATTTCTGAAATTCCGAACTACTGAATTTCTGAATTTCCAAACTTCTGAATTTCTGAATTTCTATATTTCTGAATTTCGGAATTTCTGAATTTCTGAATTTCTGAATTTCTGAATTTCTGAATTTCTGAATTTTTGAATTTCTGAATTTCTGAATTTCTGAATTTCCGAATTTCTGAATTTATGAATTTCTGATTTTCTGAATTTATGAATTTTTGAATTTTCAAAGTCGGACGCTTTTAAAACCTAAATTCCCGTCCAATTTTTCTGAATTTGGTTTTGTTTTGTCCAGAATTTTTTCTTCTTTTACTATAATTATGTCTCTCAATCAAGATTTTTGATTATCTCCTAATTTTCAGCTCTAATCATGTTCAAGTACCTTCTCGCCTTCATTCTCCTCATCGCACTCATCCAATTTTCCACTGCTGATGTTTCTTGTGCAATTTCAGACACAATTTGTAAATCTGTCACTTGCATGGTAATTTTTTAATTATTTTCAGATTTTTCAAATGTTAAAGGTCCATTTTGAAATCTAAAATTATTCAAAATATAACATTTCATACCGTAAAACTTGCATTAAAAGGACCGGCATTTCTATTGTTCCAAGGTGCCTCCGGAGGGCCCTTCTATTACAGGTTTTACGGCATTCTATTTATTTTTTTTTCCAGAACTGCAAAATCGCTTCCTGTGTCAATGGAGAGTGTGTCTGTGGAATTTGTGATAAATAAACCGGAAAATTGAAACGTTAACTAAATGCTTTTGTTTTAATGTATCATGAACCAAACAAGAATCAAATAAACAATTATTATATGACGTTTTTTTTTTCAACAGACAATGGAAAAAAAAACTGAAAACAAAATTTCAAAAATGCTCTCTTATCAGTTTGATAATTCAAAAATTACAACAGACGAATAGACAATTGGAAATTGTTAAGAAGTTTTTTTTTTCAGAATGTCAATAAACATATTTTTAAAATTTATAATTCAAAAGGGAAAAATATTCAGAATTCACAATTTTTCTGAATTTTGAAATCTCTAAAATAGTTTTTTTGGTGCATTATGATCTTTAAAAAATTAGCAACCATATGACCCTTCAAACCTTGTGACCCCAAGTTTTCAGACCTCGTGACCCCAAAAATTCAAAATTCGCTTCCTCAATGTTATGAGCTGATTACTCTAATTGCGTCAAACTGTCGGTGAGGCTCATTGAGCCCCCGCACGTGATAAATTGAATTTTGTGTTATCATACAAACGGAAATCACGAAAAAGAAAGAGCAGTTGGACGAAGTTTGACCTTTTTCGCGGAAGTTAGAAGCTGAAGTTTCAGCCGAAATTTCAATTTTCAGATAATTGGAAAATTCAGAAAATCGGAATTTCAGGATTTCAGGAATTTCAGAAACTCCCAAAAAATCAAAATTTTCAGATCGTCAGGAAACTAGGACAGCTGGAAAATTTAGAAAATCAGGAATTTCATAAAAAAAACTACAGTATTCCGAAGTTCCAGAAAGTTAGAATGCTTCGAAGGAATTGAAAAAATTCGTTTTCGATTTTCCGAAAATTCAAAAAAGGAATTTTTGCAAATTTGAGATTTTCAAAGATAGTGAAACTGGAAAACCGAAAAAATCTAAAATTCGAGAGAATTCGGTAAATCAGATTCATTTCAGAATTTCAGAACTTCTGAATTTCATAATTCCTGCATTCCAGAGATCATGAACTCCGGAACTTTAGAGTTTAAGAGTTTCAGAATTTTAGAATTTCAGAATTTCAGAATCTCAGGGTTTCAGAACTTTTGAATTTCATAATTCCTGCATTCCAGAGATCCTGAACTCCGGAACTTTAGAGGTTCAGAGTTTCAGAATTTTAGAATTTCAGAATTTCAGAATCTCAGGGTTTCAGTATCAAGTAATTCAAGAACTTCAGAATTTCGGAGTTTTAGAGTTTCGGAATTTCGGAATTTCAGAACATTAAAGAATCTTCGATTTTCAGAATTTTAAGACTTTGAGAAATTGATAATTTCTGAATTTCAGAGTTTCCGAATCTCACATTTCTAGAGTTTCACTAAAACAGAGATCACTTCTTTCTCCACCCACTCAAAAAAGGGTCTAAAAGTCCAAATTTCCCTTTTTTCTTATCATTATCACCTGAAAAAGTACACGAGAATCATGGAATACGGTTTCTTTGTACGGTTTATTGACGTCAATAGTCTGAAAAAATGAAAAACTCGTGACGCAGAAAAATCAGCTTTTTTGGCTCTTTTTGATAATTGGGGGCGGGAGTGAAATGGAAAACTGTCTATCAAAAATAAAAATGATAAGTGATAAGAGCAAAATTTTTTGAATAAAAAGTTGCTTATCAACTCTTACCTTTCTCCTTTTTCCCGCTCACTTTTCGACTCAACAAAAAAGTTTCGAGTCAAAAAGTTGGCGAAATTTAAATTTAAATAAAACAAAAATGATTGCACAAGATGTACAAGAATTGAAAAACAGATTTACGATATCGGTACGTTTTGAGAAAAATTTTTCAAAAAACTTTTCAGAAACACTTCTGGAATTCTTTTAATTGAAAAATTATGAAGAAATTTTGTTTTGTAATTTTTTTCTGTTGTAATTATCATATAAATAAATCTGTAAATTTCCCTAATAGTTTTTTTTTCACATTGGAATTTTCAGAATTTAAGATTTTAGTTAGAAATCGATCAGAGTTTTCAGAAAACAAAATTTCGAAAAATTTAAGACATTCTGGAATTCCAAGCATCCTGAATATATTCAAAAACTTAAACGTTATAATTTAATACTTTTGAATTTCAGAATTTCCGATTTACGAATTCTTCAAATTTTAGAATATTCGATTTTCTAAAAATTTCTGATTTTCAGACAATTTGATTTTCAGTTATTTTTTTGAATTTCAGACTTTCTGAATTTCTGAATTTCTGAATTTCTGAATTTCTGAATTTTTGAATTTCTGAATTTCTGAATTTCTGAATTTCTGAATTTCTGAATTTCTGAATTTCTGAATTTCTTTGAATTTTTCTGAATTTTTTTGAATTCTGAATTTTAGAATTTCTGAATTTCTGAATTTCTGAATTTCTGAATTTCTGAATTTCTGAATTTCTGAATTTCTGAATTTTTGAATTTCAGAATTTCAGAATTTCTGAGTTTCTGAATTTCTGAATTTCTGTATTTCTGAATTTCTGAATTTCAGAATATCCATTTTTCGAATTTCCAATTTCCCGGAAATCAAAAAAAATCAATAGGATTAGTTTTCGATCTAGTTGAAAGACCGCTTAATTTGCTGATAAGACTTCAGTGAAACTAAAATTTCTATTTTAAGAAAACGAAGAATAAGAAAAGTGAATTACGAAATTATAGAGCCTAGAAAAAATTTTTTTAAAAAATCGAAGATTAGTATAAAAACACCAGTGAGAGATTGATAAAAATTACCCATAGACTTTTAGAACCCAAAAACTTAAAAACAACAAAAAACCCCTTTTTCAGCACTTCATCGTCCTGATATTACCATTTTTGGCAATTGGCCTAATCACTAAACTACCCGAAAAGCCAGAAGTCAGATTAGTCAAAGATCGACATTGTTTTAATACTTGCAAGTGAGTTTTACAAGCGGAAATTGGCTGGAAATGAGTTCCTAGGCTTAAAATGCTTTTTGTGTGAAAAAATACTATAAAAGAGCCCAATTTTTTCCTGGATCTAGCTCAAAAACCTTGAAATTTGCAGACTTCGGATAGTTGAAACAATCCCAGCAAATATCTCATTTGGAGAAGATACTGTATTCCCATTATCCACGTTTCGAGCCTGGAAATCTTTAATTCTGAATGCTCAAGAGGAATTATATGTGGCTGCCTACAAATCAAGTCTTCAAGGAAAACATGTACTTGGAGATTCTGCACAATACTATTCACAAGAGGTGAGGAATTGGTTTTTTTTTTTTGAGATTTTGGAATTTTAATAAAATTTTTTCAAATTCAATTTTTTTGTCTTTTTAAATAGTTTTTTTAAATTCTGGAATTTCGAAAATCTGGAGTTCAGAAATCCCGAAATTCTGAATTTTTTAAATTTTGGAACTCTGAGATTCTGAAATTCCGACATTCTGAAATTCTGAAAATTTGAAATTCTGGAATTGTGAAATTCTGAAATTCCGAATTTCGGAAGTTCTGCGGTTTTGAGATCCTGAGATTCTGAAATTCTGTAATTCTGAAACTCTGAAATCTTGAGATCCTGAAAACTTTAAATTCTGGAATTGCAAAATTCTGAAATTCCTAAATTCGGAAGTTCTGAGGTTTTGAGATTCAGAAATTCAGAAACTCAGAAATTCAGAAACTCAGAAATTCAGAAACTCAGAAATTCAGAAATTCAGAATTTCAGAAATTCAGAAATTCAGAAATTCAGAAATTCAGAAATTCAGAAATTCAGAAATTCAGAAATTCCAAAACTCCGAAGTTCTGAAACTCTGAAATTCCGACATTCTGAAATTCTGGAATCGCAAAACTTTGGAATTCTTAAATTCTGAAATTCCAAAACTCCGAAGTTCTGAATTTTTGAAATCCTGAGATTCTGAAATTCTGAAATTCTGAAATTCTAAGATTCTTAGATTCTGAATTTCTGAGAATCTGCCTTTCTGAACTGCTGTATTTCTGAAATTCCTAAAATTTGAATTTCTGAATTTTCGAGTTTCCCGGCATTTCTGAATCTGAATCTCTAAATTATTGGATTTCCTGAAATCTCTAAATTCTCTAATCATCTCTAATTAACCCTAATTACCCCCTAATCACTAAATTTCCAGGGCGACACCATCTACAACACCCTAATGTCAGTGGGAAAATCCCGAAAAGTCAATGTCCGTATGGTTGAAAACTACCCACCAAAAGATAAAGGAGATAATGCCGATGGAGTGATTCTGGAGAATTTCGGAGCCGTCACAAGGAAATCAATCGATATTTCGGAATATATGGGACGAGGCAAAATGCATTCGAAATTCCTGGTTGCCGACCGCAAGTCCTTCTATCTAGGATCCGCGAATCTCGATTGGAGAAGTTTGAACCAAAAAATGGAGTTGGGAGTTCTAGTAGAAGATTGCGAGTGCTTGGGAGAAGACATGCACAATATATTTCATGTTCTTTGGGATTTAAAAAACAAAGGAATCGAATCAAACGAAGCTCTTAAAGTTAAAGCTGCCTATAACAAAGAGAAGCCGCTGGAAATTCAAGTTCAAGGAGAGAAAGCGCAAGTCTACATTGCCACGTCACCAAAGGAGTTGAATAATCCGAGAAGGACTTGGGACTTAGACGCTATTGTGTCGGAAATTGACGCCGCCAAAAAATTCATCGATATTCATGTCATGGATTACTTCCCGCTGTTCATCTACCGTAATCCTAGAGTTCATTTCGCAAATATTGATGATGCCATTCGTCGGGCCGTTGTTAGAGGTGTCAAGATTCGATTTTTGGCTGCTGCACTTCATTATCCGGATATTGGAACTAGATTCTTGAAGAGTTTAGAGAGTTTGAATGGTTTTCATGCTAATGGAACTATGGAAGTGGTGAGTTTGGGTTTAGGAGATCAGCAAGTAGGCGTTTCCCCCGATTTGCAGAGTATTCAAATTTCGGAATGTCAGAACTTTCAATTTATCCATATTATGAATCAAGGAATGTCCCAAATTTTCCATTTCCGAATCCAAGAATATCAGATTCCACAATTTCTGAAAACCATCAAACCTGAATTAGAAGGGCCCTCTGTCAAGTTTGAGCTCTATTATCTTTTTTAGTAAGAATTTTTGTAGTAAAAATTTTTCTTAGTGAGAATTTTTCTTAGTGAGAATTTTCTTAGTAAGAATTTTTCTTCGAAATTTTAAACGTATTTCAAATTTCCTTGATCAAAATAACTATTCTCAAAATTTTCAGAAAATCTTCAAAGTCCCTCGAACCAACATCGAATCCATTGTGATCAATCGTGAACGTCGTACCCATAATAAATTCATGGTCACCGAGTCGGCTGGAATAATTGGGACCTCTAATTGGTCTGGTGATTATTTCATGGGCGGTACCACTGGAGCAGCCATTGTCATCCGTCAAACCGGAGAAAAGCGGCCGTTTGTGGATGAGTTGAAGGTAAGAATTGTGGGGTAATTAGGGTAATTAGGCAATCAATTAAATTAAATTGCAATTTTAATTGAATTCAAATTTAATTGAATTCGAAACATTTTAATTGCATATTCAATTTGACCGAATGTCCGTTTGTTCCCGGTTAGCGGGCCCTAGCAAAGTCCCCACTGGACCAAAATTTTTCAAACTTTCACAGATGATGTTAAATAGCAGCGAGATAATGCCCGTTTATTTTGGTTTTTAAAATATCGAAAATTGAGGTCATGAGACTACAAAAACCATTTTTGTTAAGATTTAGGTTTTTTATTCTCAAAGATAGGTGGACAAATTCACGGAAAATTTCACACCGCCTGGCGTCGGTTTACGCCCCCTCTGGGGCTAAACCTCCTGGCACCCAAACCAAGGAACGTCTCCAGAAGACTTCAAAATCGAAACCTCGGAAAACGAAAAATTCGGGCATCTAGTTAGACACATTTCTGATCTATCTGTCTAGGTTTTAGCTTAATCGGTAAACTTTGAATGGGTGAACAGGGGCGCGACATACAAATCCTATATACCGTAAAACCTCTAATAGAACGACACCCGGATCGTCCACTTTGAGCCTATATATCTCACTTCTTTTGAAAGATATCAAAAAGTGGTTAACTAGTAAAATGTTTATCAG